TAAATATATAATTTAGTATATATATATATATATATATATATATATATATATATATCATTCATTCTCAATTTGATTTCTACATGTACAAATTCATTAAATATGTTCTTATATATGTAATCGAGATTAATTTGGTTCCTAAAATCATTAATTCTCTTACATATTCTTAATTTAATCTTTATATGTGCAATACATTTGTAATTTGACACTTATTAATTATGATTTTTAGAAATTATTATTTGATTATTCATAAATATTTTTGAGAATGTTTATAAATGTTACACGAGTATTAAAGTTATTTTATTATATTAAATAAACAAAATAAAGGTAAGATGTTGTTTTTATTGCATTAAATTTATTATGCATAAATATATTTTTAATCTTTAAAATTTAAGATAAATTTATTTTAATCTCATAATTTAAAAAAAAATAAATTTAGTCCTTATACTCAAATTTTATTTGAGAATTTGTCAAATATTGATATATAAAATCTACCTATCAATAAAATATCACATTAAAACTAGCTGATAATACATAATTATGTTAATTTTAACATGTCATTTTTAAATATATTATTGATGACTTGAGATACGAAAATAAGATTTTTATAAATTATAAAGACTAAAAATAATATTTTTAAATTTAAGAAACCAAAATCAAATTTATCATAAATTTAAAATATTAAAAACATATTTAAAATAATTTATTTTTACTTTGGAAAAGTTAATTTCCTACTTTCTCATTCCATGAAAAATTTATGTAAAACTTATTCCAAATATTTTTTAAAATGTTATTTTTAAATAAGAAAAAATAATTAAAAAACTAATATTTATTACGTTAGATTCTTGGGAAAATATTTAATTTTAACATTTATAAATAATTTTTAGATAACCTTTATAAATAATTTTAAAAAAATTTCATGGCAAAAAAAATGAATTTAGTTAATCATGAAAATCATAATTTTTAAACATGGAAATATTAATTTTTGTGTAACAACGACTCCTAATTAAGGAAATTTTTTTTTTTAATTTTATTTTATCCATTACTGTTTTTTTTTTAACTAAAAAGAATCCTTGAAATTGAATCTTCTAAAAATCTAAAATTTTTTATAAAATAAAGAACGGGAATTGATAACAGAAACCAAACACTCCCTAGGGTTTTGACTCTACTATATATGTTCGGATTTGAGTGCTTGTCTTTCATGTTTCTTCTGTAACTGCGAGGCTAGGGTTTCGAGTTTCTTGTGTAAAAATCTTTGCAAATCAGAAGCATGGGGCACTCCAATGTGTGGAACGCTCATCCCAAGAACTATGGACCTGGTTCCCGCGCCTGGTATGTAACACATCTTCCTCAAATGATAAACTTGATCCTTTTCCCTGCTTCTCTCCTCAATTTGTTTTGCTATTACTATTAAGGTTTTAGCTTTTAGTTTGAAGCCTTTCTTTTGATACCATATATGAGATCGTTGAATTATTGCTGCCTATTTCTGATAACGCGGGTTTTCCTTATGATTTGGGTTTGAATAAGCTTTGTACCAAGTGCATTGTGATTTTATTTTCTTTTGTTTTTAGCCATTAATTTCCAAGAGATGATTGTTACAACCTGATGTCATTTTAATATGCACTTTTTACTATTTTTTTTATTTTATTTTGTTGAAGTTTAAATAAAAAAAGTCGACGAATCGACTTAATGGTTACCGTTGCGTTTGAATCGACGAGATTTTGGGTTGTTTTTCAAATTCTACGGGGATGTCTTGAGATTAGTGATCGAGCAACTTCTTAATTTGTTAATGATATTGATTGCTGGAAGATACTGAATCATAATGCAAGACATTTGCAAACTGCTACTGAAGTCTTGGTGAACCGAAATTAATTGTAAGCTGTCTCCAGTATTAATCCAGATCAATATGCTATGAGCTTCGATTGTTTAGTTCTTTTGTAACTTTTCTCTGTGCATCGTATAATATATATATATATATATATACACACATATATATATAATGTATGCCTTACTCTAAAACTTCATTGGGGCATGCTACCTTTAGTGTCACAGTTTGTTTTGCATAATCATGTCAGTATGTTATGCATTCTCCTCTGTTCTGATGTTTGCATTTTAAAATTGTTATAATTTAGATACTATTGGGATACCTGTTTGTTTGATCTGTGGTCATATTAGAGTACTAGTTTAAGTTCATATGGGTTGACTTTATTTTTATAAGGTTTGTTGATTGGTAATGTTGTCTACTGTCCTCTCGCGATTTGCAGTCGCGTGTGTGGGAACCCTCATGGATTGATCAGGAAGTACGGGCTTATGTGCTGCAGGCAGTGCTTCCGTAGCAATGCCAAAGAAATTGGCTTCATTAAGGTAAATATTTCTTGTGTAAATTTCGTAATTTGTGAATTGTTTTCTCCTGAGTTCATAACCACTTTTTTTTTTCCTGTGTTTTGCAGTATCGCTAAATGAATACTGTCCTCCTTGCCCACCCAGTTTGGATTCAGGCTTTAGGCTGATGATGTGGGGATATGCTTTTATTGTTTCAAGAATTTTAGAATTTTTGTGGCATTTAGCTAAATTAATCATCAAACTCAAGTTGTGGAACTAAAAATGTTTTTACATTTTATATAATTATTTTGAGCTATCTACATGCTTCTTTGTGAGCCATTTATTCTTATTGAATGATTACATCCTTGTGTCTGATCTCATTTTGACCTTGATGGTAAAATCATCACGGAGTCCATCCAAATGCTCTGTTCTTAGCATAATCTGGTTGGTTCTTAGCCTACGTTTTTGAAATTTAATGTATTATGGATTAGATTTTACATAGTGTTACTATGTTAGGGAATACAATGACAGTTATGATACCTTGCTGAAATTATTAACTCAACAACTTGTAAATCTTTAACATTAATTTTCAAAATTAAGAAAAATTTGTTTGTAAATTTTAATTTAAAAAAAAAATCTTTTACTATATATTTCTATCACCATCACGGGTACTTTTACTATCATTGGTGGCACTACATCAAGGCAATGATATAAATGTTCTCGTCACCACTGGTATTCAGTATTATTGACATTGTTAGTTATAATCAAGATATTATTATCACAGATTGTTATCACCATTTTTTTTTACCTCAACTAGTAACACCATCTACTTCATGTTTGAGAAATATTAATTTTTCCATTTTCAGGAAAAAAAATGTTTGTAAAATTAGTTGGATATATAGGACAATAGCTTATGTAATTAAATGTTTAAAAATCATTTGATTATAATTTATCATATAAAAACTGATTTGTTGTTATATTCAAAGGAAATTAAATATTTCAAAATCATTTGATTATAATTGCTTATAACAATAATTTGAAATAATATAATTTTCACAAAACAAACTCTTAGCCCCACAAGCATGGCCGCCTCCACACTAAAATCCTTAAACTAATTTATTAATTCATTTATGGGGAATACTAATGTACTCTCACCTATTTTTTAGTGGGAGTATGTTAGTAACTTATACTAATTTTTTAGGACAAAAAAATTACTCATTTATTTTGATTTGGTTAATTCGTACAAATGATATTATAGTAATTTAATTTAATTTTAAATGAAAACAAAATATTTTCTCCTTCTTATTAATTTCATTCTCTAAATTATTTCTCTCTCTTATTAAATTTCTTCTCCAACTTATTTGTCTTTCTTATTAAATTCTTTCTCTAACTTATTTATCTCTCTCCTATTAAATTCTTTCTTTAATTCATTTCTCTTTCATCTCTCATGATGTCTCCCTCCTCTCTCTCTGAACAAATAAAAATTTATTAATAAAACAAATAAATGAATTGGAGAATGAAATTAATAAGAGAGAAAATATTTTTATTTTCATTTAAAATTAAATTAAATTACTATAATATCCTTTGTACGAATTAACCAAATCAAAATAAATAAGTGGTTTTTTTGTCTTAAAAAATTGGTGTAGGTTGCTAACATACTCCCACTAAAAAATAGGTGGGAGTACATTAGCATTCCACAAATAAATAAATAAATATATATATATATATATATATATATATATATATTTTCCAGTTTCAGTCACAATTCTTATCACTTACCAAATGGGAAATTGCACTCAAGAGAACTTACAAGCATGTCATGATCCACGTATTGTTTTGTCATTAGTCAGTATGTCTCCATAGGTTAAAGCAACCTTTTAATTTAAATTTTAAAATACTCTTGCAATATACTACAACAACTTGTTAATTAAAAAAGTTTATAACTTTGTATAACATCCCCCCTTCGTTCCTTGCATGTTTCATGCGCAAACTGAATATCAATGGCAAAACTAATGCAAACTTGTAATTAATATTTTATGATCTTCACAAATATATGGCTTATGCATGTAGCCTAAATTATCTCCTGTGAACTCCACTCCATCAACCAGGAAGCGTTAACTAATTCACAGACTCTCGGATTCCCCTCGAGAATGTGCACTGAGCTAATACATGCATGCGAACAAGAAAGATAGCTATCATTTATATAATTCATTAATTTTACCAACTCCACGTTAACAGAAAGTGCTCAGTAAATCTCTGAAGATCAGAAAATTGATAAATTGCTTTGTTCACTATATTTTAACAATTAAGACAGAAATAGGAAGAGAAGAGAGAAAAGCTTGGAATAAGAGGATCAATGTAGTGAATAGAGACAGAAAAAAAAAAAAAAGGATTGTATTGCACAAATTTGTGGTAGGAATAATCTATTTTCATCTCTAAAAGTGAGGGACAGAAGAATCCGATACCATATCTGACCACGTCATGTCATAGTCTGAAAATCTACTATCGAAAGGAGAATGTGGTAGGTTTTTAACAAGTCTGGAGGGGACAAAAATCCAGTTACAGATAATGCTGTCTGGTTAAATAAGAGTTTTAGAGTTCAGACTCATCGCCACGATCTCAAGCCAGCCGTCCTTCATTTTCAACGCGTCTTACCATTAACATAACATAACATAATAACAGGTGTAATTCTCTTCTATGCCTTCTTACTGCCAGCCTCACACTCACTCAGCAATACCTATTTAATTCATGCAGGTGGATTTTTTCATATCTATGATAATCTGTGTTGAGTGATAATATTTCTTTTTTAAACCAAGTACTTGTTAGTGCAAACTGTTTCGAAGGCACTCAGACTTAGTCAGATGCTAATTATAGGCAATTATGAACTCAGATGTTTTCATATGGATAAAGCCAATATGAGTATAAATAGAGTGCTGCTCCAACTTTTTCGTTTCAAGCCTTTTAATTAAGTGCAGCTTCTTCCACAATACACGCACTCTTCAAGGCGTCCAAATTAAAAAACAATGGAGGCTGCTGATCAGATTTCCAAAGAATGGAGTTCTCTTAGTGGAGTGTACACGGCAGAGGAAGCTAACTTTATGAACCAGTTGCTTGGTCACTGTTCAGTCCCGGAACAGCTCTCTGAGAGTTTCAACTTGGGAACTCAATCTGCATTTTGGCCTGACCATGAATCCACAGAAAACAATAACACCTACTTTCTACCACAAGTACCAAATACAAATTCTGTGTGTTTTTTACAACGGAGTAGTTCCAGTGCAGATAGTATCAAATATATCTCTCCCGCAACAAATGTTGGCAACTACTCCAAGGATTTTTCCTTACAAGGCAATGATGGCAAACTGATGGGTGGAAACACTGACTTAGAGTTAGGTCTTGACACAAGGAAAGAGGGTCTTGCTGAGATGAATTTGCAGGCTCACATGGAACGTCAAATACTAGATTCTGAATCAGGAAAAAGATCTAGGAGCTCAATCGAGGTACAATACCACAAAGTGTAATTCTAAAATATTTCACTTACTAGTACTACTTATTTTTTCGCATTTCCTTCTCATGCACAATTTATGATTTTGTGAGATTCTCCTCATGATTTGATTTCATAGGTCCCAAAGAACAAGAGAAATGTTAAATCTAAGAAGAATCCAAAACCAGCTTCTGTAAGTCCAAACCCTCAGGGTCAGACCTTAAGCAGTTGCTGTTCAGATGATGATTCCAACGCTTCGCAGGAGCTACATGGAGGGACATCATCAAGTTTGAACCTGAAGGATTCTACAGCTCTGAAGCTAAGTGGAAAATCACGATCTAATAGAGAGCCTGCAACTGATCCACAGAGCGCGTATGCAAGAGTAAGGGCATGTTTGGAAACTCTTTAGCCAGGTGTTGATATGGATCAGTGGAAGCAACAATTAGTTGCTTTTGTATCAATTTTGATGTGATTATTAAACGTGGATCATGAATGTGGAAGCAAATATGCATTAAGTCCTTTGTGAAAGGCTTTTAATATCCTTGCTGATGCTAACACTTTGACAATGTGTTGCTGTCATGTAATGTGATGGATTGACTCTTACCTTATGCAATGTGCAGAAAAGAAGAGAAAGAATAAATGAAAGGTTGAGAATCCTACAAAACCTTGTCCCCAATGGAACTAAGGTATAGCTTGCTCTATGGTAATCAACTGTTGCTAAATAACTGGTTAATATGACACAATTCTGAAGTTTGATTCCTTGGTGAACTGCAGGTTGATATCAGCACAATGCTTGAGGAAGCTGTGCAATATGTGAAGTTTTTACAGCTTCAAATTAAGGTAACAACTTGGGTATCCTCTTTACTCTGCATCTAAAGTTTACTAAGTTAATAAAAAGTTTTCAATATTTCAATTTAACAGCTTCTGAGCTCTGACGATCTGTGGATGTACGCTCCTATTGCTTACAATGGAATGAACATTGGCCTGGAACTTAACATCAACCTTACCAATCAACTAAAGAAATGCATAGCATAGCAATATAAGTGTATGCAGCAAATTAAGAACAGGGGGTGTCATTTTGTGATGTTTATGCTGTGTTCACAAGTATATCTAAACGGCATTTGATCATAAGGACGTCTGAATTTCGTTAAAATGTGCACCTTGTGTCTTTTTGAATTATCAGACATCAATTTGAGTTGATTCTTTTGAGTCTTTATTTGATCAATGAATATTTTGATTTCACTTTGAGTCGTCAGCATTTTATGCAATATAAAAATCCAGTTTTTAACAAGTAAATGCTATTTTTACAACTAGTTATCAGATTATAATGCCAAATTTATAACCTTTTATTTCCTGAAATCCACTTTGTCGAAACTTGTGTTAAGTTAAAAAAATGTGTATTTTGCCAACCGTTTATCAAAAGCGTGTTGAGATTAATTTGATTTGTAAAACAGTCCATAAGTAATTTCTTATTGCAAAAGCCTTCTTTTTTCTTAAAATGTTTTCCTAAAATTTAAATTATTGAAGACAGGCTATAAGATGTGTTACATGTGTTCCGCCAATACACATTACCTTTTTGAGGACTCCATTTTTTTCCCCCAATTTTCTAATCAAGGAATTTAAGTATTTCTGGTCACTAGAAAAACTTGCCCCAAATAAGGTGGTAAAAAAAGAACCTCATTAATAAGAATTGGAAAAAGCTAAGGATATTAAGTGAGAGTGACATGATTCCATCCAAATCATTGACAAGGACCATCCCAGAGTAATGGAACAACATTAGGACGTTAACTTGCATGTACTACAGCACGATAAGTTATGATCCTGTGCGTGGAATAACATGTCTGGTAAAGTAGAAATCCTATAATCTACTGAAATAGTACCTCACTAAGTATACAAATGCTACATTTCCAACCAAAAAAAAAAAAAAAAAACCATGCAGGACAACATTCTAAATTTCGATCTTTTAATTGTCCAATGTCCATATGATACGGTCTACTAAATGCAATGCTCAGAGTTCTGAATGGCTCAAAGATGGCACATCCATGCAGCTCATCGTGAAATCCCAAGAGACGGACCCGATTTTACTTTCATGCTCTTTGATCATTGACATGATTTGGAACTTCTGCTTGGCTGTCCAAGGGCATATATTGTGCCATGATTGCTCTGATTTCGGAATCCATGTATTGCTGCAAAACCACCAACAAAAATACCATTAAATTTTTATCCTATAAAACAGAATTTAAGTACAAATGAATCATCATTTGTGTCTTGATTTGGGAAGTTTTTAGTTATAAACGCTTGGAATGTTGGGCAACTCAGCACTATCTAATGCTACAGAATTTCAGCATTCAGAATCCAATAACACCACCTAAATGAGAGAAGCAGCAGAGCTTTACCCTTATTCTATACTTGTACACAAGGAATGCCCCACCAGCAATCATAACTACGCCAAGTAAAATCAACCAAAAAGCAGCCCAAGAAGATCTTCCCTGGCTGCCAGTTTTACCTGTAGGTTATCCAGTAGAGGGCATGAAAACATGTCTTATCACAAGCATATGCCATGTAGGAGCAAGTAAAAAGTCTTGTATATTTAACTCACTTATGCAGGTATCATGGTCCTTCATATACAGAAGATCTCCATTACAACTGCAGTCATAGCTACCCCAAGTATTCTTGCAGCTACATTCAGGGCACTGACATGCCTTTTTCTCTTTACATTCATCAATATCTGTTAAAAAGAAACACAAGTTCAATTTCAGATTTTTTTTTCTTCCAGTTATGTGGAAAGCATTCACTAGGTGTCATCAAGTTCACAAATACTTGTTCAAACCCGTAGACTAAGAAGAATCAGCAGTTAATTTACTGGTGATAATAAGAGCAGTTTATCCAAGTATAGAAGCCAACAATTCACTTACTAACACTGTAATATGTTTCTCCTATTAAACAAAGAGAGAGGACATAACATCTCATCCAGACAATATGGAGGAAGATAATTTTGACCAAGGTTCCAGCATAAAGTACAAAGTTGTAGTATAACAGTATAACCATTGATTGTATTTAACATTTCACACATATTTATAGAAGGCATTCAGAATTATCATATGCACTCAATTGATAAGACAAAATCCAACATTCTATTAGTGGTCTACGGTGTGGATAGTATTTCCACGCTGATCCATATAACTCAATAAGCTATGAGGGTTTACCACAGGAAAAAAAAAGTATGAGATAATACAATACAAGTATCCCTCACCTTCACAATTTTTGACACCATCACCTTTAAACCCTGTGGGGCACTGGCATTTGACCCCTCCAATATCCTGTTCTCATAACATTTTGTGCAATAATTCAGTTACTAACATGGGTTTACAATCCAATAAACTTCAACCATGAAAACAAAAAATATTGTTGGAGATTAAATAAGTTGAGTGAAATTGGGTCCAGAATCTTAATAGTTACTAACCAAACAAGCAGAAAATGCATGTCCATTCCGGGCATCATGCCAACAGCCTCCATTGTTTATCTTGCAACGCCCAAGTCCACTGGCTGCAAACCCAGAAGAAACTAGTTATATCGATTAAAATGATTGTGGAGAATAATAAAAGAATCACAGATGTCCCACAACATAAGGATCACCACATCCAGCTCCACATAGCATAGAGTGAAGGAAATAAACATGGAATACTAACTTAAACGCTCTTGGAAGTAAATTATGCAGAAAGAAAATGAAGTTTAAAGCATTTTAACCTTCACAAGTTGTATAACCATCTCCTTTGAATTGTACACCATCAACCAGAGGGCATTCACATACTCGCCCACGGAATGTATCCTGAGCAGATACACACATGTAAGAAAACAAAATCTATAACCCAACATAGCTCTCATATTAGATAGTTGTTTTCACACAGATACCTTGCATGCAGTGATGTTAGCTGCTTTATCCTGCCAACAACCACCATTGTTCGTCAAGCACTCATTTGTCTCCACATCTGCCCATAAGAATTGTGCCAGTTGGAAAGAATCAGGTCCACAATCAACAAGTCTACAAATTATATTTTCCTTATACCAAGAAAAAGCTAAACATTTACCATTGCTCAAGCAAACGGCTGGTTCAGTAGTTTCCTCAAACCCAGAACATATAGCCTTTAGAACGGCGCCTTTCTCCAATTTTCCTGAAAAGAATCTGTTTAGAATTGGAAATCCAGATCACTACCTATCACAAGAGCATACAGTACAAACCTCGATATTGTCGATTATTGACAACAAGAGTAGGCAATATTGTAACATCACCTCGCGATCCCTTTCCAATCTACAAAAACTAGTTTTGTTAATCATCTATAAATTACTGCATTGATACAATGAAATGAATTAATAGCAATTATAAACGACAATACTTGAGCATCTTGCTCTTCTTTCAAAACAGGATTTTCAGTGTCGGCATCTGGATCACCCATGCACTTATCAATCTTTTCAATATTAAGACCTGCAGATATTGAATAAACATATTAGTAAAGTCATAATCAACCAGTGTAAGAGGAAATAACAGACGATGGTGATTTACTTACCCAGTGACCTAATCACAGCATTCGCACATTCCTTATTGTACTTCTTCTCCTTCATGGGGCATCTAATTTGAAAATCAGTGACATAGTCCCACCACACCCAAGGCTTTTGAGTTTCATTTGCCACCTTGAAAACACATAGCTGCCTTAAATTTTCAATAACCACATCTTTCCCATCATAACCTGTGCTGAAGTCCTGCTCGGGATCCGGAGCGCAATATCTTCCATGATTTATGCATTGAGACTTGCACTGTTTGCTCAAGGTGAATGCATGAGGACAATACCAAGTGATATAATGGGGTGTAAACTGAGTGTAACCACCTTTCTCAAGTATCTGAGCTGCACCCTTGAAATCCTTGACAAATTCCATCAACATGTCACATTTAACTCCACACTCATCATTGCTGTTGGTCCACAACTCATACTCCACACGATCATCTGGGTGTGGGACAGCCTCTCTCCAGTCAAGGTTTACGTTAACCATGTCCCCATCACTTAAGGCATCCTTTAACTTAGCACCAAAACTTTTTCCAACAAGAGCAGACGGTATAGTTATGTTCTCGACATATTTGGCAGATGAACCGTCCTCTTCAGGCGTGTCCATAGTTATTAAGGGCTCCTCAATATCATCTGCAACAAGAACCGCAGAAGCTCCAGCCTTCTGGGCATTCCAGACCTTCAAAGCAAAGAAGCAACCTGCAAAGAATAAACCCATGGCCATGAATGCAGAATGCTAGCTAGGGTGTGTAAAAGCAACCAAATTGATTGAGTCTTGAGACATAAATTAACATTCAAATCAAATAAGTAATGGGGAAACTAGGGAGGCTATTTTTGTTTTCCCCTTAAAATAAAAGTTAGTTAAATAGCAAAAAAAAAGAAAAAATCATACTTCCGCGATCGAGCAGAAGGATGGTGGGAAGAGCACCGGGGCGTGATTTGAAGGAAATTCCAGAGTCATCAAACTCTTTACAACCTTTCTTGTTATCCTTGGGGTAGACGACAATCCCGGCCATGCTACCACCGTATTGAGGTATTCCGAAGTTGCCAATGGCACTATCGTGTGTGCCTCTTATTTTCTCCGGTGACGTCACTCTCAGGCTGTTCTTCTCCACCACGAATCGACCCGTTACTGACACTGGCAACACTAACCCCACAATCACAATTACAAACAACCATCTCCAAAACAAAATCATCTTTTCTGTTCCTTATTTCTCTCACTCTTCTCTCTGCATTACAAACACTTCTACTTCTTTTCAATGCTTTCTCAACCGATAATCAACTTACTACTTACTACCACTATTATCATAACTTCTATTCTTTCTTCTTTTTTTTTCCTTTTACGTCAAATTAAATATAATTATTCCCAATTTTATAAAGTTTTACTAAGACAACCACGAATAAATTTCTTTTTGGTTCACACTAGAAATCAAAATATAATCCATTTATTTGCAAAATTATATCTCTTAAAAAAGATATTCCTAAAGTAGTGGCCAAGCATAAAAAAAATTGTCAATATTATCAGATAATGAAAGAAACCCAGTTACATATATTTTTATATTTTCATTGCCGTCAAATCGTTCAATCAAATAATCACATGTGCATCTTTATTTAAAATTTTATAACGTGTTTAATAAAACTATTTATTATTAAAAACAATATCATATGTCATCGATTAAATAAATCATCGTTTAAATACATAAATAAAATTGACGATCATATGTTGTTATTAGTAGTTACATGACGAATTCCCGTTCCACTAATGTCCAAAAGTTTAGTACCCACTCCCACTGCAACTTAAGAATATTTAAATCAAATTGATACAGGATAACGAATCCGTCAACCAAAATTGAAGATTTTGTTTCTCATAAAATATTTAAATTTAAAAATGTTCTTATTTATTGATAAACATTACATTTTATGCTTGTAAATAGTAGTTTAAAGGAATATCATATAATTATTTCTACAAACATCATAAATTGATTATTATCACATTTTTTTTATAAAGCGAGAAAGTTTGTACCTAATTATTTCTAGTTCCATAAAAAATAATAAAAAGTTATAAGGGTGCATGCAGAAAACGCTTCCGAATAAATAATATTAAGTAAGAATGAGACGTTGCAGCCAATACCAATTTGACAAGTGCAGTCAGTGACTCACTCCGACCAATCATAGCCACACACAAGTTTTCTAATGGAAGAACCTGTTTGCAGCATTTTTATCGGATACCTACTGTTACTGTACAAGATAAATTTAATTATTCAATTTATAAAATAAATACGAATGGAGCCCATATTAATATTTATTAATTACTAATTGTATTCCGTAATATATATATATATATATATATATATATTTAAATTAATAAAATATAGAAAAATGTTAGTGTTTTATTAATTTAAATATATATATATATATATATTAAGATTTAAATATATTTTTATTTCTTCAATTGTAAAATTATTATTTTTAATTTCTATAATTTTTTAAAAATTTTGTTTTAATCTCTCAAGTCATCAATAACATATATATAAATGACATATTAAAATAGTAATGTAGTTTCAATCGGATTTGATGCGATATTTTTACGGATAAAGATATCAATAGATAGATTTTAGACAACAATATTTGATAGATTCTCTGACAAAATTTGAGTATAAAAATTGAAACAAGATTTTCTAAAATTTACAAGGATTAAAAAGACCAATTTTTAATTTGAGGGACTAAAGACAAATTTACCTTAAATTTGAGATATTAAAAACATATTTAAGTCTATTATAAATTTATAATAATGTACTCACACTTGTCATGTTAAAAACTAAGTGCTCTCACTCTTTTCTATATTTTTATTTTGTTAAAAAAGTCAAAGTTAATATATTAAGTTTTTGAAAAAAATAAATCTTAAAATAAGTGTCATGTTAGTTTTTCAATATAATATTAATTATCTTTTATTTTTCATTTATACCCTTCATAATATTTTTTAGAAAGTGAATATTGTATTGTATTATTTATAATAAAGAAGATTAATTATAAGTTTTTTATTTTTAGTTTGTATGAAACAACCTAAAACGATGCTTATTATAAAATAAAGGGAGTACTAGTTATAGTTAAATCAAGCCAGTAAAGAGATTAAGGAGTGATAATTGATCTAAATTCATATTATACTATTTTTAAAATAAAAAAAGGTTAAAATTTTGATACGAGATATAGAAAGAGATATTTTTGAAAGTGTTAAAAATGAGAAAATCATTCAATGTTTTTAAAATATAAAATCTCATAAAAAATAATTTAATATATATTTATATTTCAAAAAAATGTAAAATTATACATTTAATATTATAAATTTATGTATTAATACTGCCCCACTATTTAAAATTTCTCGATCCATAACTATATATATATATATATATAAACTTCATTACATTTAGGTTAGTTCATTTTGCTCGTAAAATAATTTATCATAACAAATTTATAACAATTTTTAAAAATGGTTTTTTTTAAATAATAAAATTGAACCACAGTATTAGGTATTTTCTGGAAGATAATATATATATATATGCATTAAACACGTGGTTATATCCATCCATATCAGTAACCATAAGTGAGTGATAAGTGGTCCCCAAAATCAATGGCTCTAAGAACCTATATTTTGATGGGTGTGATTCATGCGCATGAAATCATAAGCATGTATTACTTGCTTCTGTGTCGTTCATGAAAGTTTGATGTGAAATTACACACATTATATTCAAACACATATTAACATTTTTTTAACAGCAAATCACACTAATATTAAGTTTAGAAACACCAAAATGGATCAACAGAATAGAGAAATATAAAAAAGGGGAGGAAAAAAAAAACATCATTCCACTCTTTGGTTTTTTATGACATTTTTTATAAGATTAAAATTTATGTAAGAACATGCTTTATATAATTCAACTATTAGATAAATAGTTTTCTGGTGTAGCGAAAAAGTCATGGCATCCTAATTTTTATATAATTTTTAAAGATATTTACGTATTTTATATAGTTTTTTTTTTTTTACTTCTTGCATAACTAAATAAGAAAAAATAAATAAAAGTTTTAATTTTCTTTCTTTTCTACCAGACAATCTATAAAATGATTTCACTTTTATTTTTTATTTTGTTGAACATTCATAAAAGTGGACAAATTCCTCTCTTGGATTCAGATTAAGAAAGATGCAGGTGAAGCTGGGCTCACTTTTAATTTCTGGAATGCAGTTTCACACTTTAAAACCCATTCAAGAGGAAACTCTAGGGATGATAAAAAATTTCATGTATTTATGAATAAAATTTGTTATGGATAAAAAGTAGATAGTTTAAATAGATATTTATAGATAATGAGTATGGATATTTTTTTTACCTATTTATGAACGGGGGTGGGATGGGTACAATAATATCCATATTCGTGGATATTTTTGAAATAATATTACTTAAACATTCATAATTTTATCTTATATTTTTATATTATTTTTAATATTTTAAAAAAAATTATCATTAATTATAAACTCAAAAATTAATATAAATTATAAACTCAAAAATTAATATAAATTATTTATCTTTAATATTTTAATATACTTAATATCAAATATGAGTTTATAATTATTTATAATGAGGAGGGTTCAAACGACACCGGTGTAACTTTAACTAAATGTTACACCACTCAATAACTTTATATTAATTATGAATTTTGTAAATCCAACCGTTAGATTGAAAGTTCATAATTAATATAAAGTTATTGAGCGGTGTAACACTTAGTTAAAGTTACACCGGCGTCGTTTGAACCCTCCTCATTTATAATAGTTTATTTAAAATTTTTAAAATAATTCACAAATATCTATGGATATTCATGATTTACGGGATATAAGATAGGTACGAAATGAATTTTTATTTGATGGAACGGATACGAATATCCTACTACTTATCTAAGACTCTATTATCATTAAGGGTGTGTAAAAAATTCAAAATTGATCGGAACCAATCCATAATCGATCCAATTTATATTAAAAAATTCGATCCATTTTGAAAAAAAAAATGAACCGATCTACTTTACAAAATCTTTTCAGTTATCCTATCCATTTTTACAAAATGGATAATTGCATCATGTACACATGAGTAAAATGGATCAGTTAAATTTAAAAAAAATGTCCTACACATGAGTAAAAAATAAATAATTACATCACACCAAATCAATCTAGTTTCAAAAATATCGATCTATATTTTAAAAAAATCAAATCGATCTACTTTATAAAAAATAGATCAATTAACCAATTCAATTTTAAATATAGATCAGTTTGATTCGATTTAAATTTTTCAAAAATTCTATCCATTAACATTCATAATTGCCATTCCTGATAATTTTATTAGGGTAGGTAAGCTATTCGCTAACGGAGTGTTAGGCTGTATATCCAATTTTTTTGGCAGAACTCCAAGTATTTGATGTTTTGACATATCAGAAAAGGCAAAAAAAAAAAAAAAAAAAAAAAAAAAAAAAAAAAAA